TCGTTTCACATCTGAAAAGTGGGTTTATACCCATGAAAGCGCAAACAAAAATAAAACCAGTTAGTTCCCCCTCCCACATCCCTTCCTGCTTTTTATGCTGCAAGGGACTACCATTGCTACATTTTTTTTAAGAAAAAAGGGTAATGAAAGCAAATATTCAAGGCCAGACTAAGCAGCATAGTGGCTTTTCTCATGCTGACTAACCAACCTATGTAAATCTTCACTTGGAAATAAAACTGTGAGATAGAACATTTTCACCTCTTCAGAAGCATTCCCTCCACACATTTAAGCAAAAGCAATCTTTATGTCAGATCAGAGTAGCTTTCATTTATTACAATGAAAAGAATTAAAGTGAATGTGGTGGATGAATAAGTTGGCTAGCATCAGAACTCCAGAAGGAACAAGCATAGGAAGAAGAGAATATAAAGTAACATCTTCATAAAACAGCATAATTAAGCCAATATAGTGAAACAATTTATTATCTGATGTTCATGTAGCTGCATAAAGCAGGTTCTCAATGGTAGATTGTCAGAATGAAGCCAGACACATAAATATCACCTGTAAGATGAAAGGATGTAATGCAATTTTAATCACTAGAGGTCCGTATGACACAATAATAAAATATTAAGCAGCTGGAAAGAAACAAATAGATTTTAAGCTGCTGTTTCCCAAGGAAAACCTGATTAAACCTAATGGTGCTATATCCTAGGGCAGGGGTAGGCAACCTTTCCCCTTTAAGGGCCGAGGGACTTCAGCTCCCAGAAGCCTCAGCCATATTGGCCAATAGTCCCATGTTGGCCAATAGCTCCTGGGATTATGGGAGCTGAAGTCTCTCGGCCCTTAAAGGGGAAAGGTTGCCTACCCCTGTCCTAGGGCCTTTGCAGACTGCCAGAAATAGTGCACTTTAAATTGAGGCACTGCCCTGGCTCAGTGCTAGGGAATCATGGGAACTGTAATTTATTGTGGCACCAGAGCTCTCTGACAGAGAAGGCTCAATGTCTCAGAAAAAAAATACAATTCCCATGACTCCCTAGCACTGAGCCAGGGCAGTGCCTCAATTTAATGTGCACTATTTCTGGCAGTCTGCAAAGGCCTTAAGTCTAATAAGAGGCTAGTTTTACCGTCTAGCATGTATATTTGATACCTTTGGCTTTTTCTATGCAATGCCACAGAAGAGCCAAAGACTTCATGTGAAGAACTCCCATCAGATTTTAGAATGCAGCTTTAAAATTCAGTATGGTAGCTGTTTTATAATCCAATTCTCAAATCTTGTATATTTGCTTACAATCTCAATTTAGAATTAAGGTGGCTCTTAGAATTTTATGTCATTTCGGCTCCATCCACATTGCAGAAATAATCCAATTGGACCCAACTTTAACTGTCGTGGGTCAATGGTATGGAATTCTGGGAACTGTATAGTTGGTTGAGGCACTAGAGCTCTCTAACAGGAAGGCTAAATAATTCACAAAACTACAATTTCCAGAATTCCACAGCACTGAGCCATGGCAGTTAAAGTGGTGTCACACTGGATTATTTCTTCAGTATGTATGCAGCTTTTCAGTTTTCAAAATTTGAATACTGAAAAACAAAATGGATAACCAGAGAACAAATAAAGAGTTAATTGGTTGACCTATCAAATATGGAGTGCCAAGATTGCAGATGTGGGATTGGGGGGAAAAACCTCATTTCAATATTTTGTTAATTGGAGGAATACCTGGTGGCAAATTCTGTTAATCTGTATGAATCTGTTCCATAAAACACAAGGTATTAAAAAAGGAAAATCAGCCATAATAGGCATGTCTGGAATCATATGAGCATGCATGTATGTAGAAAATCTATACCTCCAAATTGAGGAAACCTGTGTTGAAAACAAATCTAGAAATGGTTTATATTGGGAACAGTGAAGCCAGGCAGTTATAAAATAAATGTGGAGGGTTTCTGAAATTTCTATAAAAGACCCAAATGTGTCTTGATAAGAACAATTTTAACCATTCATAGCAGAAGTTTCTGTGATAATACCATTTTCAGTAGCTAAGCTAGTTTAAAAATAACAGAAAATATTTTTTGTGTACATATATCAGCTAAAACATATTACAGATACAGGTTGAGTTTGAATATCCCATATTCAAAAATCTCCAAAACGTTTTGATCACTGACATGATGCTAGAAGTTCAGTGTACACAATGTAAACAAACTTCACTTCATGAACAAAAATACTGCATAAAGATATTGTATAAAATTACCTTCAGACTATGTGGAAGTGATGGTGAGCCTTTTAGGCGCTGAGCGCCCAAACTAAATGGCCTTCCAGCACCAGGTGTTATCCTGTGCTGGAGACGGGACTTCTGGGGGGAATTGGACTTCTGGGGTGGGATTTCTGCCCTATGGGGGCAGGATTTCCAGGGCGGGACTTCTTCCCCTCACACCTTCCCAGGCTTTCAGCTACCTTTCCAGAGGTAGCTGAAGGCCTGGGATGGCCAAGAGGAGGAGGAACAGGCATGAGCCTTTTCCTCCTTTTCCCTGCTCCATGTGCCAGGGAAAATGGTTTCACGTGTCATCTCTGGCACACATACCATAGGTTCAACAACATGGCTGTGTGTATATGAAACAAATGAATTTCACATTTAGACTTGGGTCCCATTTCCAAGATATCTCATTATGTATATGCAAATATTCCAAAACCCAAAATCCAAAAAACTTCTGGTCCCAAGCATTTCAGATACTCAACCTGTAATAGTATAAATGCTTTCAATATTTTCATTCTGAGCTCAATTCAAAATGTTGGTTTGGATCTATAAAGATCTAAATGACAAAGATCAGGGTAACTGAAATAGGAGTCTGCTTCCAATTACAGGAACAATAGTAAGTTTTCCTCAATGCCAGGTTTTTCAGGTCTAACTGTTTAATTTCAAAGAAGGATGGAGATTCCCTAGAACAATTTTCAAAGATATACTGTGGAAGTGAGTGAGAATTCCTGATTTTATTCCAGAGATACTGTGAAAAGTGTCCAGGTCTTGGTTTTGTTTTCTTTTTCAAAGGTACACCTAATAAAAAGGAACAAAGCAAAGCTACAATTATCAGTAAGAAACAAGGCCAGGCCTTAGTCAAGCTCACTAATACAAACAAGGGAGTTACTCAGGTTCTGCAACTCCAGACACCATAAAAGACCAAGAGGTGACGTCTTATTTTTTCTGACTGACTTTTCTTTTATGTTGCATCCTAAAGACTTTTTCCTACTTCATGTTATTTTTAGAATACAAAACATTACTTCATAGTACCTTGGCTACTTTTGCTTTTTCTGTTTGTGTTAAAAATTGCATTCTGTCACAACCAAGAAAGAGACATAGAGACCCCTTCCCAAATGATCACAGACTATAGTTACATTTCTGTGTGAGGAATCATTCCTTCAACCATTCAGGTTCAATCCCATCTAGGGTTTTACAAGTTAAAACAACACCTTGAGCTGAGTCTGGAACCAAACAGAGAGCCAATGTAAAGGCTCACTCCTACTGTGATTTAAACTGATTGGTTGATTGGTTTATATGGGCCTTGTTCACACTGGCAATGATTTCAAACCCAACTGTATTCAGTCTGAATCATGAAGAATTGAGGTGAAGCGAGGCAAATGCAAAAGAATTGCATGTTTTGAAGATGGATCTTTTGGTGGTTCTTTTGAAAAGAATAATTTGCAAGCATGTTCAACAAATGTGAATGATGCTCGGATCTCAATCGCATTGGACTGGAGGGGAGGGACTGGTAGAGGGTTTTAACACATCGCACCCTAGGTTTTGGGAAATCTGCCACTCCCCCCCACCCTAGCGCTGCCTCCATGCTGTCTTTTGACTACCGTGGGGGCTTTCGATTTTAGATTTTAAACACTGCCAAGTGGTAAATCTCACTGGTCCTGATCCAGTTGTTTTTGCATTTCCCCCCGGTTGTGCCAGAATATTTTCAAGAGATAGGATAACTCTGGGGGTGCTTTCCTTGGGGAGAAGTGTTTAGTGTGCTTTTTTAAAAAAATTAAATGATGGATTTTGTGATCACTCACATTTCTGTGGGTTCTCTAGAGTGAGTAATGGGTCTCATGGTTGTATCACCAATGACGTGTAGATGCGCATCATATGATTGACATTTTTTTTTTTTAAAAGGCTGGGATGGATTGATCACATTTGATACTGAGCATGCATTTTGTAGCAGCACAAATCTAGTGTGAATGACAATCATGTTAAAATGACACGAGTGCATGGAATAATGAAATAATTCGCTTCCACCAGTGGGAACTACGCATTGGTATGAATTGATTCAGCAACTGCATGTCAATGCGACTCGCAAACCGGTTTAAATGTAAGTGGGAATGAGCCCTAAGAGTTGTAAATATTGGTATCATCTAATCCAGTGATTCCCAAACTTTGGTTCTCCAGATGCTTTGGAGTTCAGCTCCCAGGATTCTTGACTTTTGGCCAAGTAGGCTGGGGATTCTGAGAGTTGAAGTTCAAAATACCCAGAGGACTAAAGTTTGGGAATCTCTGATCCAATCAATTAAGTTGACTTCAGCCAGCTACTGCCAGAATTCTGTTTTCACAGTGGCCAAGTAGATGACTATGGGAAGATCAAGAGCAGAACATGAATGAATTTTGCAGTAATTTGTGGCACTAATAATATCCAGCACTCTTAGAGCTTGTGGTACTATACTCCACAGTATAATTTGAATCGTGGCAAGATATAACTCTTTCCACCTTTCAACTTTTTTGGATAATCCCAGATTTGAGTATTATAAGCAAAGCAAAGTTTCTCTATCTACTTTCTCCACATAATGCATGATTTTATACACCTCTTTGTTTAACTCCGTGCCTTCAAGCCATTTCCAACTTATGGTGATCCTATCACAGGGTTGTTTTTTTTGGCAAGATTTGCTCGGGGGTGTGGTGTGGGGTGTTGCCATTGTCTTCCCTTGAGGCTGAGAGTGTGTAACTTGCCCAGGGTCACCCAGTGGGTTCCATGGCCAAGCAGGGAATCGAACCCTGGTCTCCAGTATTGTAGGCCAAAGGTCAAACCACTATGCCACGCTTGCTCTCCCTTAGTCCTCTTTTTCCCCTAAACTAAAAAGCCACAATTGTTGTAAAAAATTGCTCATAAGGGAGTGGCTCTAACCCTTTGGTTCTTTGAACTGCCCCTTTCCATAGCTTTTATAAGCTTTCATCAGCTTTCCTAGAATCAGGGAGAAATTAAAAATAAGAACTGGATGTCATTAGCATATTGATTGTAACACAACCCAATGCCTCTGGACAACCTCTCCAGCAATTTCATGAAGATGCTGATCAGAGGGGTGACTGCATATCCCTGTACGTCAAAGGGCATTGGCATGAGCAGCAGTCTTTCAATGCTACCTTCTGAGGTCAAGCCTAGAAGAAATGATCGATTAAACTCCAAATAACCCTGTTTTTTCAGTATGACACATATCCTCTTTTAACAAAACTCAGAACACATGGTATGGAATTGTGTTTGCATAACTGAACATTGTGTGTATGCATGGAAAAGAAAATAGGATGGTTTAGCTTTAAAATAACTGAATAGTCAAAAGTAAAGAAAACAAGGATGGCCATGCATCAAACACATGAATGCCATTCTGATATTCCCAAAGTCCCAAATTCAATGTAGAACTTACATTAAATAAAAACATATTTAAACTAAATTTTTAATAATGCAGTAAAAGCACTTTTATTCTCAGAAGAGTAGAAGTACTGCTGAAACATATACACACTGAAGGTTTTGGACACAGTCTGCTTCAGCCACTAAATCTAGTAGCAAAACTATTGCAGGTTTTTCATATTACTCAACCCTGGCACCACTCTGAAGTAAAGGCATTATATGTCATTTTTTTTTAAAAAAAGTGATGTGCCTAGTTTTGCTTCCATAAAACCTACTGCTACCATGCAAATTATGTGCCAAGATAAGAAAGTGTATCTTAAGCAGCACCAATGCTATTTTCTTAAAACATTTTTCTTTCTTAGCATCTTTACTTATACTGTGCACACAGACCTATGACTCGGGAGACCAGGGTTCGATTCCCAGTTCGACCATGGAAAGCCACTGGGAGACCATGGGCAAGTCACATGTGCTCAGCCTCAGGGGGAGCCAATGGCAAAATCTCCTCTGAACAAATATTGTCACAAAAACCTCATGATAGGTTCGCCTTAGAGTTGCCATAGGTTGGAAACGACTTGAAGGCACACAAGACACACATACACAGATGTTGTAATGAAATCATGCTAAAAGAGGAAATAGAGACTTCTGCTTAAAAGAACACATTCCTAGGCAATATGCTTGTCCCTTTGGAGGCATTTCAGCTTCAGGAGTTTGTGGATGAGATGTTCATCTAAATATCTTAAACTGGATTCACACCATCCTATGGAGACAGCTCTAGTTGCTTTAATAAGATCTTGTGAGGGGGAACCATGTTGCTGTTAGTTCTGCTGGACCTCTTAGTGTCTTCTGATTCCACTGACCATAATAGTCTCCATTGTTTTATTTATTTCTCCCAGAAAGGGACCCAAGGTGGCTCACAAGTAAAAATTCTAACAAACATATTACAATAAAACAATTAAAAACATCAGCTAAAAACAATGTAAAATTACAAACATTTAAATCACAATAAAACCACAACACCCACGCCATATAAAATGCCCCAGATAAAAGCCATTCCATGATTACACATTAAATTCCTGCCTGAATAAAACTGTTTTTGCTTGCTGGCGAAAGGCAAGCAGAGAGCCAGCCAGCCTTGCTTCTCATGAAAAGGCATTCCAGAGGGCAGAAACAGCCACCAAGAAGGCTCTCTCTTGTGTCCTCACCAGGCAAGCCTGTGATGGTGGCAGGATCAAGAGAAAGCCTTCTCCTGGTGATCTTAGGGCTCTAGCAGGTTCATATGGGGTATACAGCCTTTGCAGACTGGTAGAAATAGTGCAAATTGAGTCCACTTTAACTGCCCTGGCTCAGTGCTAGGGAATCATCAGAATTGAATTTTTTTCTGAGGCATTGAGCCTTCTCTGTCAGAGAGCTCTGGTGCCAAAATAAACTACAGTTCCCATGATTCCCTAGCACTGACTCAATCTGCACTATTTCTGGCAGTCTGCAAAGGCCCATAGTCTCTCAAATAGTCTGGACCTAAGCTGTGTAGGGCTTTATAGGTCATGACTAGCACTTTAAATTGTGCTCGGAAATGAACCAGTAGCTAGTGAAGCTGTATCAGCAAGGGAGTTATATGCTTCCTATAATTGGCTCCAGTCAGCATTCTTGCTGCGGCGTTTTGCATCTGCTGAAGTTTTCAAACAGTTTCTAAAGGCAATCCCATGTGAAATGCATTACTGTAGTCCAAACGGGATGTAATCAAGGCATGTGTCACCATAGTCAGATCTGACATCTCAAGGAATGGGTGCAGCTGGCAAATGAACTCCTGTTCATGGCTGAGACCTGGACATCCAGGTTCAGAGTAGAGTCCAGGAGCACACTCAAGCTGTGAGCCTGAGATTTAAGGGGAGTGTAACCCCATCCAGCACAGGCAGAGTCCCTATTCCCTGATCTGCCTTATGACTGACAAGAAGCACCTCTGTCTTGTCTGGATTAAGCTTCAATTTGTTTGCCTTTATCCAGTCCATTACTGATCACAGACACTGGTTCAGTACAGAGACAGCTTCCTTGGAATCAGATGGAAAGGAGAGATAGAGATGGGTGTCATCTGGATGACTTGCCCCACCAGTTTCATGTAGATGTTAAATAATATAGGGGACAGAATAGAACCCCGAGGGACCCCACAGGTCAATGGCCAGGAGGTTGAACAGGAGTCCCCCAACACCACCTTCTGAGTTCACCTCTCCAAGAAAGACCAGAACCACTGCATAACAGTGTCCCTACATCCCATCCAAGAGAGGCAGCCCAGAAAGATACCATGGTCGATGGTATCAAAAGCCATCGAGAGATCCAGGAGAACCAACAGGGTCACACTCCCCCTGTCCAGTTCCTTGCAGAGGTAATCCACCAAAGCAACCAAAGCTGTTTCTGTCCCATAGCCAGGTCTGAAACCAGACTGAAATGGATCTAGATCAGGGGTAGGCAACCTTTCCCCTTTAAGGGCCGAGGGACTTCAGCTCCCAGAATCCCAGGAGCTATTGGCCAACATGGGACTACTGGCCAACATGGCTGAGGCTTCTGGGAGCTGAAGTCCCTCAGCCCTTAAAGGGGAAAGGTTGCCTACCCCTGATTTAGGGAATTCATGATTGAAACAACCTCACTGCCTTCTGATTTGTTTCTGGCTGCTGGTGATGAACTTTTAATGCCTATCTGTTTTAGGATTGGGATATTTGAAGAACTATTTTGTTCCACAGGAGCCTGTTAACTAATGCTGCCATTACATCAGGACTTCAGGTCATAGACCAGGGGTAGGCAACCTTTCCCCTTTAAGGGCCGAGGGACTTCAGCTCCCAGAAGCCTCAGCCATGTTGGCCAATAGTCCCATGTTGGCCAATAGCTCCTGGGATTCTGGGAGCTGAAGTCCCTTGGCCCTTAAAGGGGAAAGGTTGCCTACCCCTGTCATAGACCATAACTCCATAGTGCAGCATGGGCCCCTTCAAATGCCCTGCCACTGAAAACAGCAGAGCGGTGGCAAAGATGCCTGGCTTGAGTAGACTGGTTGGAACAGGCACACTGGTGGAGTCCACAGGGGGCTGATGTTGCTCAACACAACTTCATGTTTTTCCCTTATTATAAAAACTGCCAGGAGGTAGCTGGCTTGGAATACACATGGGCACACATGCTCATTTTACTATTCTGGACGCTGCACTGGGTCAGGGTGCCAACACTTGTGGGGAGAGGCTCTCTTCTTGAGAAAAAGTTTTGCTTCAAAGATGCTCAAAATGGAGCACTGCCACCAAGGTGAGATTAAGCAGTCTGCCTCATCCAGCCAGTATCCTCCATCCCACCCCAATGTATGTGCTTTTTTGTGGAAGAAAGGAAGCCACATTCACCAGCACCAGCACAGAAACACTGCATACTAGCAGGAGAGAAATACAGGATATATAATTTGCTTGCTGGTGATAGAGGTAGAAGCTTCTGTCACTTTTGGCCACTGCTCCTCACTGACCCTACATGCATGCTGGTCAGCTGGGAAAAAGAGGAACTTTAAATAGTCCATAAAACAAGCCCATCCAGGGGATATGATGTTCAAGAGGGCTATTTAATGGGTCCCATCAATTCCCACCCACCCCCCACCGGATATTGATATGCTTGCCTATCCCATCTCTCTGTAACCTTTATTTAGCCTATTACTGAGCTGAGGCACTGAAGTATTCATAAGTATCCTAGACAGAGATGGAAAGGGTTGCACATTATCAGCATATTGATAACATTGAGTGCCAAATTGCTGGACTATTTCTCCAAGTTAAATAAAGATTACTTAAGTTAATGTGAAGTCATTTAGAAACTATGGTTATCTGCTTAAGGAAGAAATTAACATAGTAGTGTTCTTTTTAGTCACCTTGGACATTTGGATGAAATACAGGGAACAGATATTTTAAATTAATAAAATAAATACTTTTGTATACTTATTTAATAAATTTATATTTTCATTTATAGGTCCCTGAGCATTTTTTCTGTTGATAACATTGAAAATGAAATTTTTTTAAAAATGGGAACTGTAATCCTAGAGTCAAGTTTAGTCCTCATTTTCACGGATTCCTTACTTTCTATCGCTTATTATCATAATGAACATGTCTAACATTTTGACTTTTAATGAAACTGTTAATTTCATGACAATATCCTCATTTCAAATTGCTGAAATTGGTTATATTCCGTGAATAATACCTCAAGAGAAATGAGGTTCATTGTATTCAAGGTAGTTTCTTAAGGGCTAGGATTATACAGGGGTATAACCTTTTCAAGAGAAATAGGCCAA